AAAAAACTCGCTTATGATAAAATTTTAGAAAATGGGCGGGACTCCGCCAACTTATGGCCAGGTATGTATATTTCGGTATCCGTTAGTGATAGAACGATACGAGTACCAAGTACAGAATATCGATACTTTTCATTAGCACTGAGTAGTATCGAGAAGCCGATACATTTTCACAAGTACTGAGTAAATATCGCGAATGTCGAAAAATATCGACGCGTTAAGAACTTTTTTAAGTAATTTATATATTTTTTTAATTACCCAAAAATATTGTGGCTAACGTTCGAATATTAACTTCAATATCCAATATGAATGTTATGAAAATGAACATAAAGCTTATTAATTCAATACTGTCATAACTCAAAAAAACGAAAACCCGAGAAACACGCCTTTAAAGTTTTTAATTCACATATCATCATCACCTCCATGCCAGAAGCATGAATGTGCAAATTTATCAGTTTCGAGTTATTGGGTTGACTTAGTTAATGATGGATTTTCTATGTTATACCAAAACCCAGAATACCTTGCGTAAATATTTTACAATTTAAATTGCATAAATGAGAGCTAAGTCTCGCAAAAAAAAAATTTCAAACTTGATTTCCCAAAATTTTAATTTTTATACATTCTTGTTTATAGCATACGGGCAACGATAAATATACTCCCATACTAATAATTAACACATATTTTTTTCTAGTGAGCTACTGGTAATTGACACAGTTATGAAATTTTTACACAACCTAGAAGAAAATGTAGTGGTCATTTCAACATTGGCTTCGGGTAAAAATGTTTAAATAATTGAACAACGAATATCTTGCCTCCCCTTTGATAATGAATGGTGGATAATAAGGATGGTGGTTTGATAAGGATGGTCTTCCGACTCGACAACTTGGCCACTCTCCATGTATTCTACCTTCGTTGTGAAATCCAGCCCATTCTTGAAGAACATTTTTATGAAAGAGAGCTTATCTTTCCAATAGAGAATGGGCCTCACCACATTTGCTTCTCGTCTTCTACATTTTCATTTCATTTTCAAAGTAAAGTTATTTATAAATACATGTATGTGCCAAACAATTATAAAATATTTGCTTTAAAAACTTGGAAATAAGGTTTTTGCTATGAACATTTAATTTACGCCTGTAAAACTAATTTATCGGAAGTTTATTCCAAAAACTCCTTTAGATCAGATTAAAACTATTAAGAGCAGTGACTATTCAATTTACAAATAGGAGGAGGTGAAAAAGGCAAAGCAATCTGATTTTCTTTCACTTTTCGCGTTTGCCCTAAAAATACTTGGAAGTACGAGTATTATCGATATATTTTTGCAAATATGAGTACTGGCATCGATACTTTTTTAGAGTGTTCTATATGAGTACTAGATTGATACTTTTCTAAAAAGTTGTATCACTAGTAACTGTTCGATCAATTTGTAGCAAAGTTGGCACGATTATTTCGCTTACACTCAGAGAAAAGTCAGGCAAATATATTCCTCTCAACACATGATTTGGTAACTATAAACAAATAATGCAACTATAACCAAATCATGTGTTGAGAAAAACATATGTAGTTGATGTAACTAAACTCTTTTCTCAGTGTACCACATAAAAGAAAAACTTGAAAAATTATTGAAATCGTACTAAAATTACTCCCACTTCTCATATAACGGTAAATCTCAGAAATTCTTGAAACTTCGATATTTCAAAAGCTAAATCGTATACTCTATCTCTTTAGCAGAAAAAAAGGCAATTTCCACAAAATCCGTGCCCTAGTAATGTGTCATGCTAATCGCCA